AAGAACCTAATAACAGAAATATAAGTAGAGAGAGAGGAGCCGCGATATATCAGCGAGCCCGCGAGGACGACCGCGAAATTAACGCGCGGCCCGTCCGACGGATAGCGGCACCGTCGCTCGCGATGCTCTCGCGCGCGTCGTCGCGCGGGTCGATGTTTTTAGCGACGTGCTTAGTGACGTGCGAGCGGGCCCGAGAGTGCCAGGCGAGCGAGAGCCAGCTTATCCAGCCGTCGGGATGCCGCAGAGGTTTCTGGGTATGCGGTGGGAGCCATATTTTTTCAATATCAGTTACGCGCAAAACGGCGCAGCGTAGCGTGGCACGGGGCATCTGGCGGGGCACGGCATACCGATCGGCGGATCGCCGCGCGACGTCCGTGTCGGGCCGGCGGTGAGTGGAACGGGCGCGTAAAACGCAGCCGACGGCGTACGCGAGCCGACGCCGTCGTCGCCGCTCGTCACGAAAGTAACACAATAATAGCCGCTGCGAGCGAGAGAGAGAGAGAGAGAGGGAGCGAGCGAGCGAGCGAGCGAGGGAAAACCCCCGTGAGAAACGCGGAGTAGTAGAGCGCGGGGCGCGCAGGTGTTCGGCGCGGCGAGAGGGTTAGTTAACTTAACCCGAGAGAGAGAGAGAGAGAGAGAAAGAGTTCGTTCGTAGTGGTGGGTAGTAGTGGTAGTGGTGGTAGTAGTGGTGGCAGTGGATACGAGGAGCAGTGGAAATGGTGCCGGTGGTGGAGGAAGAGTGCTGGTGGTGGTGGTGGTCGTGATACTCGCTGCTGGCTGCTGTGCTGTTGCTGTGACGATGACACAGCGTCATAACACGACGTTCGTCCGTCCGTGCGCGATTTAACCCGACTCGCGTACACGCCAGCGCGGCGCGCGCGCGCGCGCCCCCGCCGCAAGAGTGTCGGCCCTCTCTCTCCCTCCCCCGGCGCTTTCGTACGGCGTGCGCGTACGGGCGCCGCATTACCGATCGAGCGAGCCGACGACTCGAGCGCGCGCGGGCCGAGTCCGGCGGCGCGATTAGACCCCGCGTTACCCGCGTAGTGCGCAGTCAGTGTCGAGGGAGATGGCACGCCGTGCGGCCGTGTCATCGTGATCTCGCGCGCGCGTCGACGTCCGCGGGCTTTTTCTCCCCCCCTCCCCTGTCCGTGCCGAGCGGCGTGCCGCTCGCGTAATGACATAATCGAGTGCGCGTTTCTTCGGTGGGTCTCGTTTCGGTGGTGCGCGAGACGCGGCGACTCGCTCGAGGACGGGGCGGATAGTAGAGTCGGTGGTGCGGGCCGTGAGAGTGAGTTTACCGCGGGACACCCGGCGCCTCTTCGCCTCGGGATCGCGACGTAGTTCGCGCCTCGCGTGGCGTCGCGGCGGGCGGCGACAGCTACGCGAGACACCGGGGGCCGTCACCTTGAGTCGGGCGAGACCTTGCCTCTCCTCTCCGTCTCTCTCGCGCGTACGCTCGTAGGAGACGTAATCCCCCGCCGACAAACAAGCGGGGCCCCTCGCCTACGCGCGCGCGTCGGGCCGCGCCGCCGGCTATGAGAGTACCGAGTGAAGTTAGCGGCAGTCGCGACCTTGCTCGCCGCTGCCGCCGTCTCGCGCGCGATCATGCTACGTAACGACTCGCGACGTGTGCAACGCTCGCCCGCGCGGCAACAGGAATCGGCGTGGAACGTCGCCGCGCCGCGGGACGAACGCTACTGAAGACGGGAAGCGAAGCGAAGCGGAGCGGAGCGGAGCGAAAACGTCAACCGGCCGGCCGGCACCCGATGGCAGCGTTTCCAATTCCGATCGCGTTCGCGTGCGACGACGACGACGTGTCACCAGCTGCTGCTGCCGCCGCGACGTTTTGACCAGCGCGCGCTGGCGGTAGAGAGGCAGGAGCCAAAGGAGTTTTTCTCACTCGCGGCTGGTCGGCGCGTACCCGCGCCATGCCCGGCGATCCCCGGCCGCGTCAAGGAGGTTAGACGGCCATTGACCGGCGGCGAGCCGCGACAGCGTGTGGTGTAGCCGCGCGCGCCGAACACGCGCCGGTTTCGAGTAGGCGCGAGGCACGTAGGGGGACCAACTCCGGTTCCCGCCGTTTCCGAAAGGGAGGGACGTCGACCCCCCTCCGCCCTCTCCGACGAGTTGGGGAGTCGCGTGTCCGTGCGCGCGGAGCCGGCGCGATTCGCTCGTGGTCGCGCGTATTATGTCGCGCTACGTGCGCCGCGCGGAGAGACGCAACGGTACGCGGTACTGCGGTCACGTCGGTGAGAAGAGCGCGAGCGGCCAGGAGCGCGGACCGGGCGGTCGCACATCATCGTCGAGCGCGTGAGGAATCGCGAGGACCGGCTCGCCGGAGGATGCGGCAGTACCCGCCGCCGGTGTCCCCACGTAGGCGAGCTACGTGCTGGCACGTCGTGCCAGTGATGTCGTGGGTGTCGTCAGGGTCATCCGCAGCGCTGCTGGACCTGGACCATGGCCGGCAAGCCTGAGCAGCCGTCCACGCTCCCTGCCCCCCCGAGTCACGGCCATCAGCATCAGCATCATCACCAGCAGCAGCAGCAGCAGCAGCAACAACAGTCGCATCACCCGCAGCAACAGCAGCAGGCTATACAGCAGAATAGCGTGCTGGTGTACGTGTCGGGGGAGAACTTTGCGTACGCCACGGCGGTGGGTCAGAATGTCGCCGCGACCGCTGCTGCCGCTATCGCGGTCGGTTATCAGTCGCAGCCGCAGCAGCAGCAGCAGCAGACGACGACGCAATACGCCGGCATCCTGCAGACGCCGCAGGTGGCGACGGCGCAGGCGGTTACGACGACCTTTCCCGCCAAAACCGCCGTATACTGCGCCGACGAGAGCGGGGTCAACGTAGGGAGTAACGCCACCACCACCATCACCACCCCCGCGATCGGCTGTTGCCGCCTGAAGCCGTCGCTCGAAGCGACGACGGCAACGACGACGACGGCGGCGGCGGCGGGTGCGGATGGCTGCGAGTCCAGGCACACACCTTCTCTGGCGAACGACGAGGACGAGGAGGACTACGCGATGCTGTATCGGCAGGCCAGTCTGGGCCACTCGACGGCAGTGTGCGCCACGTCGACGACGACGACGACCGCGGCGATGGCGATGATGACGCGCAAGCGGACGCCGGAGAGCGGGGGAGAGGCGGACGGCCTCGGCAACGGCGACCCGATGGTGTCCGGCGCGAAGACGTATCAGACCGCGCGGCTCCAGCACCCCGGCGGCGCTGGTGACGCGTACCCCGCGAGGATCGGCGGCGAGTACAACGCCGCGACGAACAATAATAGAATCGCCGCGCGAGCGAATCCGGGCGACGACGACTGCTGCGGCGGCGGCGGCAGCAACGGTATCGCGCTTCAGAACGCCGGCGAGCAGCAACAGGCGGCGAGCGCGGACGACAGCGGCCGGCAGCAGGACGGTTTCGACCAGCAGTCCGCCGCCTCCTCGGCGCCGACGTCGGCGCTCGGCGCGACAGTGTTGGTCAGTGTTGGCGACGGTGGTGTCGGTGTGGTCGCGGCGACCGGCGGCTGCGACTCGGCCAGGTCCGACGAGTCGTCGTCGGCGGCGACGGCGACGGTGACGTCGACGACGGCGACGGCGACGACGACGTCGCCGACGAGCTACAGCAGCCTCGGTAGCCCCGACGAGAGTCAGGGACAGCACGACGGCGGCATGCCGGTGCCGAGTAATAATCATCCCGGCGGTGGTAGTGCGTGCGCGCAGCAGGCTGCGCGCCAGCAGCCGCCGTCGCGTGTCAACGGTAGTAACAATAATGGTGTGCAGCATAACGCGGTGGTGTTGACAATGAACGGTAGTGCGGTGGTTACGCAGCAGCAGCAGCAGCAGCAGCAACAATTGTCGGCGATCACCGTGCCACGTGGATGGAAAAGGATATGCACCAACGGGGTCATCATTTACATCAGGTGAGTTCTCTCGATACCACGCTCTATTATCGGTGATGAATGGTTCTCGATTTGTCTCGTCGAGAGAGGCCCCGGTGTTCCGACGCGATCGCGTACGGCCGGGCTGCTAGGAAAGAATATAACGCGATTGATATCGCGTAATCGACGAGCTGCACCGCACGGGAATACGGTTCATCCGGATTGTTTGCACCGGGCTGGCGTTACGTATTGTCGTACGACAAATTTTTCGAGCGTCTTGAAATTTTCTAGCTCGCAGCCAATCGACACGCTTAAAAAATTTGCTGTACGACAAGTGTAATATTAGCCTTGGAAATGCTAGTTTGTCTTCGTGTGAGCAAACCGTGCTTTAACTCTTTGAATAATTTTTTTTCAAATTTTCTCCATTGTAATGTTACGACTCTGGGCGATGACGCAAATCGATAATCGCCGGCCTGATGCTTGCGCAACGCCCGTGTGCCCGAAATGACGCGTCGATTTCTCGGAACGAACAGTTCCACCATGCCCTCGCGCGACGCCACCGCGACCCTCTTTCTTCACGAAAACGGCTCCGGCGTACAAAGTTAATTCTCGAGCGGGCCGCATTAGCGGCCGCCTTTAATTCGTCGGCTTAAGCGGAGCCGGCCGACAGCTCGAGGCATCGACCCGAAATTAAAACGCGCGTAGCCTTCGTTTCGCTAATGGAATTAAACTACGTCCGGTTTTAGACTACGTACTTATTAGGCGCGATACACGAATACGAGCATCGAGACCGGTATAATTAATATTCCTCGAAAATTAATTCACTTTAAACGGAGTTTATCTAAATTACTGGATCCCGGTGACACGAGGCGTATTTCACTTTCAAGTTAATTTATTTTAAAGAAACTCGAGGGGGAAATCGCTGACCAAAATCTTATACACCAATACCCACTAATGGGTATTACTTTATCCGAGGGGGAAACCGCTGAGGGCATTGTGGTGTACAGATTTGCGGTATCATTGGACATTACTAGGCATTTTTTAGGCATTTTTGGGCATTAGGCCTTGCTGAGGCATTATAAAGATAAAATCAGATAATAAGATAAAGTAATGCCCACATTAGTTTGGGCATTAGGCCTTGTTGTGGTATTATAAAGATAAAATATATTTTACGAGGGGAAAACCGCTGAGGGCATTGTGGTGTACAGATTTGCGGCATTACTGGGCATTTTTTGGGCATTTAGTGACAAATCCCGGGAAAACCCCTACGCTTCTTCCACTCCAGGGTTAGCCTTCTCGAGAGTCAGAAATCTTACAATTTTTTTCGGTCAATTGAAACTCTCGTGTTAATCGTGTAAGAAAAATCTGAAGGCAGGGCGCTGAGCTGCGTGGCGAAATTACGTCTTCAACGATTGAAAGTTGCCGGTGGCAATCGAGAGGCGGAACGCTCGCGGAGCGGAAGTGACGTGTTATTTGTTTCATTTCACGCTTGTGCACGCGGCGCCTCGAAAATAGCGCTTCGAGGGCGCGCGCTCCATCATCTAAGTTTAGATCCAGTCAGCTGTTCGGGCATATCTCGAGAAGGGCCCGCGAGACTCGAGGCCCTTTCGACTCTTGGTAATCCGATCGTATAAGGAAAAAAAAACCACGACTTTTGGGAGTCAGGGAGCTCCGATTTTACGCCGTCGTCCTTCGGCCACCTCGTCGCGTGGAAAACCTGAAAGGTGTCCCTTTTCCTCGGTCCTCATTGTACTTTTACGGCTCCTTTGAAACATCGGTCGGAGGTCGCTTTCATCTTGCGTCGCTACTCTGATTCCTGTTTTCCGGCCTTTATCGAGATCTGTTTAAATTACATTTTATAGCTTTCCTTTTTGCGACGTCTGGGATTCAAAGGCACGCTCGTTCAAAATGCGCGCGATACCGCGCTGTTATTCGTAGGCAAAAGGTATCGACGTGCTAGAACATATCGTTGACGTTAATCTCCAGTGTAAAAACTGCGAATAGAAGAGAGAATGAAATTATTAGAGGAATTTTTCAAACAATTCTATCTCGAATAAAATAAAATAAAATAACGAAAGTCCGAGATTCGACTTGTTAAAATATTTACCCGCTTAATCTCTTCGTACTCCAAGACGCGATGAAGCCGCAGTCACGAAGATTGGCGTAAGCGATTTTCCTTGCGAGTCAGAGAGAGGCGTGATTGGTGGACCGGCTTATCCTCGACGATCGCGTAATATGATTTGAGGGATCAGCTGCGAGAAGCGGCAACCTTTTGCCTTTTCTTTGTACGACGAGAAGGGCGGCCGATTCTTGGGAGAAACGCGAGGGGGCAACGGCTCGTGGCCGTAACCCGTGAAGCGTAGGAGAGTTGACCTGGTCCGTCTCTGTCCCAAAACCTCCTCGTTAAGACGATCCTTTCCGGGCTGTCGGGAGTCACGCTTTAAACGACGTTTAAAGGGCCCGAGCAAACAATGCTCGGCCTCAAGCGGGCCCGACCTTCCACTCCGCTCCGTCTTATCTCGTTGGGTTAGAATCTGCGAGCTGCACGATCGTTCTTTCGCGTTAGTCTTGTTTCAGATACACGCGCGGACCTGTTTTGCATAATTTTTCCTCGCCACTTTCGTTGGTACGGTTAAGGTTTCACCAAACGTCGCTTAAGTTTAATCTTAGTTTAATTCATGCTCGTCTCTTTCTGAAGTAACCAGCGAGGGGGAAACCGCTGAGGGCATTGTGGTGTACAGATTTGCGGCATTACTGGGCATTAGTGGCATTTTTTGGGGCATTAGTTTGGGCATTGGGCCTTGCTGGGGCATTATAAAGATAACATAAGATAAAACAAGATAAATTAGATAAAGTAAGATAAAGTAATACCCACTGAGCATTAGTGGGCATTGGTGTACAAGATTTTAGTCAGCGGTTTCCCCCTCGGTAACCAGAGTTGGCTGGAAAAATCCAGCCAGGGGGTAGAAAAAACCGTGGTAAATTCCAGTTTTTACCGTCCCGGACCGTGGGGGAAACCGCTGCCCAAAATTTTGTACACCAATGACCACTAATGCCCAGTGGGCATTACTTTATCTTATTATCTTATTTTATCTAATTTATCTTATTTTATCTTACTTATCTTATTTTATCTTATTTTATCTGTATAATGCCCCAGCAAGGCCTAATGCCCGAAAAATGCCACTAATGCCCAGTAATGCCGCAAATCTGCCATCAATGCCCTCAGCGGTTTCCCCCTCGTCCCGAACTTTATCCAATGGAATAAATTGGCACATACTATAAAAATAACTAACACTTAATTAAAATATATTTATATAAATATTATTCATTTTTATTGTCTTTATGAGAAAATATGTTTGTTTTAAATACCAAATCATACTAACCACTATTTTAAAAAGAAACCAATATAATAAGTTTGCAATTAAAATAATTGTTTTATTGAAATTAATACATATATTTTTAAAACGAGAACTTCGAGGATACTAAATTTTATATTAGTTTTTAGTTTATGTGGGAAACAATACTTTATTATTTAGTTATAGTTTATGTGGGAAACAATACTTTCTTTGCAGTGCTCTCTAAAAGTTTTCTACTTATCTTATTGCTTTTAATAGAGAAGACCAGTTATCGCCGGTTTTTTTTCCTGGAAATTACCGGTTTTTACCACTGGCATGGACTTTATCCCAAAAAATGTGGAATTTTGCCAACCCTGAAAATAACAGTTGGAGAGAGACAAAGAATGAATTAAGCTAAGCCTAAAGTTAAATAGCGTTGGTGGAACCGGGCCTAAATTTAAATTAGAGGCTGTAACGCGCGGTTAATATGGATAATTCAAGAAAAGTAAGCTGTGTACAGAGAACTTGAGAAATATCTAAGTAAGTGCGTGTGTCAAGTTTAATCACCCGGCATAAAAATTTTATAGTCTTGATTGAAGTTGTCGCTTCACAGAGGAGCTTAAGCGTTCCTTATAGTTTATAAACGAGTTTTGCTCATTGACGGAAATTTAAATAAAAAATACGGATTGCTATCGAATAGTTCTGAATGGCTTATTAGCTTTGTTTCTAAAGTTACGTATGGTCAAGGGTTATAGAACTTGAAGACAGAACATATATCCAACTGGGGGAGGATCGATACAGCATTGAATGAAACCGCGAATATTAGCTCGAATAAATTAAAGATTTACGTTCGGCTAACAATAAGCGTTACCGCGGAACATCTCGTACGTATCGGACGAGGGCTCGACGGAGATCTCTGACATTTGTCGTTACAAGATAGCTTTCTCGCGAGATTTTTCCTCGCGTCGCCGATCCCGCGCTGGAGGATTACGAGGCACTGAAACGCGAAACGCGGGAGACCGGGCGTCTCTCTTTCTCTCCCGCGTACAGGAAGCGAGAAGGAAGCCGGGCGTACGAGCGGGAAGGCGGAGAGTGGAATTTCGTTGAATCGCGCGATCATTGATTTACGGTGGTACCTCGTAAATACCGGCGGTGATGTACGATCGTGACCGCACACTCCCGGTCGGCGCACCGCCACGAGTCCTATCCCTCTTTCTTCCTCCCGTCCCCTTTCCCTCCGCCGGGCGTCTTTTTCCCTCGTTCTTCGCCACCGACGTTTCCTTTGCGGACGGGGCCTCTGCTTGATTTATAATACGTATCGGTCCCTTGTCTCTTCCCTCCGTACATGCCTCCTAGAGAATGCTTGGATTCTCCGCTGACCATCCTTCCCCGCGTGACCGCTCTCCTATCATGCCATTCGCCCCTTGACATTGCCGAGAGAACCGCGACGAATTTTTTTTTTTTAGTCTCACTTTCATCCCTTTTTCCCCCCCTTTTTCTTTGATCGTCTGAGACTTTATCTGCCGTCCATTGTATCGGTCAAAATATGTAGGCCGCTCGCTCGGAACGAGCGATTGGTATTCAGTATTGAATCCTGTGACCTGTTACGTTCGCTTGAGAACTCGTAAAAAAACACGAGATGTGAAACAGATTTAGCCTTCGTAGATTTAATCGAGATTCTCGGAATAGCTGTTATTTTCGCCCGGC